AGCCGGCCGCTAGAATTCTCCTCCAAACAGCGACTGAATTCGACCTAGTGAACAAGCCAGTGAAGAAAACCCTGTCACCGCTGCGACTCGAACATAGGACCTCCCAGTCAGTGGGTCTGCAGTGACATCAGCTGATGCCCTGAGCTATCTCTCCGTATCTATCAGTTTAGTAATGAAGTACTTAACCGCTGTATTATAGTAATGTACTTCATTATCCCGCTAGTGCGGTAAAGCAATGGTGTACTTTGCCACACTTTTTTAAAAAATATTTTGGACTTCTTTGTCTTGTATTCTACACTTTTTTCCCTTTGAAACGCTAATAATTGAGTAAACGTACTAATATCAATGTTTTCTTAGCTGCCCTGTATATAATACATGTTAATAATTCTCAATCGGTTATCAAACTCGGCCCAAAGGCCTCGTTTGGCAATTTTCCAATTTCGTATTTAATCAGATGCTTTACGACACTAATATCGTAAATAACTAGAACATCAACATTTATTGCAATATCTCAACCTAACGGCAATAAATTTTACTAAATATGAATGGCATTCCATTTTCTATGAATTTGCAACAAATTGTTTTCGTGAAAAGCATCTAAATATCGGTTAAGATTACGATCTAAGGTGTTCCCTACGTATATAGTATATTTCAATTATTTGTTACAAATTAAATTTGAATCACATATTATTTTGCATTGCCAACGTACAGTCGAATTATACATTAATTATTAAAATATAAATATATAGCCAGTATACAAAAATACACCTTTAAAAAAATTGTTGATAGTGTGCTTTTTAGAAACATTTTGCTTTTGGTATTCCTAAACGGTTTTAACTGCTACCTGCTAAACGTACATCTTACGACTATTTTATAGCTTCTAATTTCAAATGTGTTTGAAATCCTTTATCACGACATTTAATCAAAAGGATTTTTGCAAAATGCTGTAGAATACGCATTTCATATCTATCTCCATCGTCATCAATGTTGAACCACTTATAATGAAAAGAGAAGTGATAACATTATCCAGCTCTGGAAAGTAATACAGGAATATTGGAAATCGGTATTCAGCATTTAACTTGCGATATCAACTTCGAAGTGATAAATTGAATCATTTCCGTTCATCACAGTTTGTTGAGAAAATAGTCCCGAGTTGATAGAGACCCAATTGCAATTTAAATTAAATGCAAACGTCATTTCGTATCCATACTGCGTAATTCAAAACTATGATGTTCAGTAGATGTTGCAGGAAAAAAATGTTTACTGAATAAACACACAAATTACGTACTTCATTAATATTATCATTACAAGCAAGTAATTTACATCTGGATCAATTAATACACTTTAAGAACAATGTTCACCTTTGAATTTACAATTTTGAGGGCAAACCACGTGTGCTACGTTCTTTACAAGAGCTGAAAAAAAAATTTCCATTTTGTAAGATATCTGTATTACTTATTCGAAGTATTGCGGCACGATATCAACCTTATGAAAACCTTGTTCAGAGACAGAGCTTTACAATAAAATGCCAAGGGGGTGACGTGTCCTGTCACCTCACCCAACACCCTCAACCAACCTCAAAATCGCTAGAAGATGTGAAAACCGTCTCTGAACAGCGAGATATCATTACGACGGAAGTTGCGCTGCGACATTTCTGAACACTGGCCGCTGCAAACACTCGAGTACGATCTGCCCGATTCGCCGGCGCCAGCCACCCAGCCGCAGACGGCGTCTTGCGTAAGAGGAACGCCGAGACGGCCTCGGCCGGCTCAAGTGGTGGGCGCCGCCCCGGCCAACGATCCCTTTGTGCTGCGCGGCCCCGCGGTCAGCTGAGGCCCGGGGGCTTCAAACACTTGAGCCTGCAGTTCTTTTATTTTCTCCATCACTCTCCCGTTCTGTTCTCCCGGGTTTAACTGCAAGGAAGAAGCGCCCGCAAAGCCACATGTGTTCGCTCTATCGGTTCTCTCGAGTATTTCTGCCTGAGCACGTGGCCAACGCATGCTCACATTTCGTTTGAGTTGCTATGTATCCGCTCTTTTGTACTCCAATAAAAATAACCTGACTGAGGCAATTTGGAAGTATTGAAATCTGGTTGTAAGTAACTATGAGCATTGTATGGTTGATTTCTACCGCAGGTGGATAAAAATAACTAATTTCATCAAACAGGAAAAAACGTATTTTCTCGCGAATATTGACGCGCCTCTTCTAATGGAGACAACCATTAATTGATATGTTCAAATATTGTAGCAAATGACCCCCACGTCTGAAAATTTAAAATCGCGAGATGGACGAGGGCAGATGTACGAAGGGAGTCACATTTATTGGAGCCGGCTGCGGCCTCTCGCGAGAAGAAATCTCGCCGTCTGGGGCGCCGACTCGCCCGCGGGGCGACGGTCGCGGACGGAGAGGGCCTTGGGGCAACGCAGCCTCCGCATCTGCGCGCGCACATTATTCGTAGTGGCGGTTGCTATTATTAAAAAGGGTATCGGTCAAATATGAGATGAGGCATGCGAGGTCAAAACCCACATAGGATATGGGAGCTGTTATTTTGTGACTGTGGCGCGGAAAATAATGTGTTTTTGTGTCAGATTCTATTTTATTCTATACTTACTATTGATATTAGTAATAATAATAATAATAATAATAATAATAATAATAATAATAATAATAATATGGTTTCGGATCCTAAGATCGAGTGTTCGAGTCCCGCCTTGGGAATGGTGGTGTGTGTGTGTGTCTGTTGGTTTGTGATTGTCCGTTTTATCATCATCATCATTTCAATACCTAATCCCCCAGGGTTAACAACCCTCGGTTGTAAAAATAGACTCAGCAGAAATGCTGATAGCCCTCATTAAATTCACGTGCATACCCCCAGGAAATGACGCTGGGCCTTGGTGGGTACAACTGCACGTTCGCGTGGTTCGTAGTAGTAAGTAGTTCGTAATAATAATAATAATAATAATAATAATAATAATAATTAATAATTTGCCCGTGGAAAACTGCAATTTTTGTTTAAAATTATATAGAATGAAATATGAGACCGCAGTTTTGTAGTTTAAAACTTTGACCTTCACATCTAACTCAGTGTATTTCAATAATTTAAGCAGCAACTAAATTTTTTTAAGAAACATTACAACCTTGAAAGGTAAAACCTGTTCATCTACCTTTGTGATTTGCGCAAATGCGAACTCAGCCGATGAGCAGCCAGGGCAGAACCTGACTCACGTGTTGCGTCGAGCATCAGCATGAGTAGAGTTTGACGAGACGCTGAGCGCCGGCAGCACCGGGACGAAGGGCACCTGCGCCACATGGTTCTCGTTCACAGCCAGATCGCAGCTGGGGGCCCTTTATCTGCCTCGCAAGGGAGCACAGCGCACAGCCGAGAGTGAAGGTTACTGCCAAAGGGAAAAAGAGTGGTGGAAACAAAAAAGGAGCGCTTTGTGAAAAACGTAGATACGGATCCCGTAAATTATACTTTGAAGAGTTGTAAACGATTATAGAAGCCACATTATCTTATTTTCTTAGTAATTTAGCTACATCACATTTTCACGAAGACTGTGGTATGATTAATACGAATAAATTGCATAAGAATATCCATTCGATTAGTCTGCAATTTTTGGTTAAGAACTTAAGATCACAAAGAGAGCTAATTTTGCGTGACACGAAAATCAAAGACGTATGGAAGTTTTGATGTACTACAAAGTGTCACATTACTTGCGAAAGAAACAAATGATAAAACCGTCGTGCGGAAAGAGAAATAAAGCCACAGTTATCAAAATTGTATTACAGCGTGGATAATTTTCTCGAGTTGATTGGAATATCCGTATCACTAGGTTCGGAAGAACGCGACACAGTTACTATCTTTACAAGTGTAGGTCGTAATGAGCATGATACGTTTCTTCGAGTGTCCTGGAGATAACTCTTATTTGAACATACGGTTAAAGTAAGACATGCTGGCCCAAAGAACTTGATAACAATGAATTACAAAATATTACTCGAGAACGGCAATTAGTGCGTTCAATAGACAAAGTATCTTTACATGAAATTTTTAGACGTTAAACTGCATTGGTATTTTAAGAAAGCAGGCGTCTCTAACGCACCGTGGCAGGTTTACGAAGTGAGAGAGTGAGGGGTCTAGGGTGATTGTCTAGAAAGACAAGAAAAAGTAAATATCCATGACATTTTACTATTTTCATCGTCGTCGTTTCTATTTACTTAACGTGCGCAGGCAGTCACTGATAAAAACTTTAATTGTTTTAAAAAATTGCATTATTGACATTCAAAGAGAGTGGAAAATGGCAATTGGAAAGATTCTGCTTACTATGGAATCCTTCTTCCTGGAGACCAACATTGTAAATAAGTAGGCACGTGCCAGGGGGGCGGCGACGATAACGGGAGCGATAGTGGGATGTCGTTGTGTTGTGGGGTGGATGTGGGTGCATGAGAGGGAGTTGGGAGGTAAGGGTTGCGAGGAGTGGGGTCCTGGAGCGTGGGTGGGTGGGGGTTGTGCGTGGTGGCGGAGGACGGGAGGGCAGTGGACCACGCGTGGGGCATGGTGTGTATGGGGTGACGGGTGGAGGGTGATAATTGCCGACATGAAGGGTGGTGGAGGGCGTGTTGCGTTCGTGAACGAATGGCTTATGAGGGCGGTGCACAATATGTGAGCGTGTAAGCGGTGGGTGGTAGGGTAGAGCAGGGCGCGGGGGCGTGGAGGGGGGATTGTGACCGGGTTTTGTTGGCAGGGGAGGAGCGTGAGGGCGGTGTAGCCGTGGGGGTTTGGGTGTGTGGGCGAGGGGGCTGAAGGGGGCATGGAGGGGGGCATGGAGGGGGGCCAGGAGGGGGGCATGGAGGGGGGCATGGGGGCAGGGGGGCATGGAGGGGGGCAGGGAGGGGGCATCGAGGGGGCATGAGGCGGCAGGAGGGGCTGGAGGGGGGCATTGGGGGGCATGGAGGGGGGCATGAGAGGGGCATGGAGGGGCATGGAGAGGGCGCGCGCTTACCTTGAAGTGAGCTTGGCGCTAGGACGGGGGCGGCGCCACACGAAGAGCGTGAGCAGCACCAGCGCGCCCACCACGACCAGCGCGGCAGCACTCCCCGGGCGTCGCCCGCGCGGCCGTGCGACTCGCAGTGGGCATCACCACGCCGCACACCAGCCCACAGCAGCGCTGCCGCACACCACGCACACCCTCACCCCTCTGCCTCCAACACCAGCCGCTGTGCTTGCGCTTGGCCCCTTTGCCTTAGGAAAGAAGCTGCTACGTCGCCGCAACGGCCAATTCCTCAAACCGTTTCAATTGTCATCTCCACTTCGGCAGCAGGTGTAAATTATGAGCACGTAGGCTTACGCGACCGGAGTCAATAGATACTTGACTATCCAGGAAGCGCCGCGTCCTAGGCACAGGTGCCAATGTTTCGGACTCCACTCTGTGTTATTCGTCAAGGCAAAATGGCCGACACGGCCGAAACGTTGGCACTTGTGCCTAAGCTGGATTTATGAGATATGCTCAGTATTGTTCTCTTTCCCTACAAGCCACTTGTGTTCTTGTAAATTACTCTCAGTACGCCTCAAAATAATTAATAATGATGGCAAGCTTTCAGAAACAGCCTATTGGTTACTCACAAGCGCCTTTCGTAAAATAAAGAGAGAAGTACAATTTGAGAAAAAAAAGGCAGAGGAGAGAGAAGTAAAATTTGTAATAAAATTACTAGAGGATGAATTTTCAACGCAACAGGTGTGGGAGGCGCCGACGGGTTACTCACTGTAGACGCAGATGGCCCACTTGGTGATGCGCGCGGAGGTGGCGGAGGGCGTCTTGGCCCCCGACAGGTTGCCCAGGTGCCCCAGCGCCCACAGCAGCACGTCCGCCGCGCCGCGCGGCCGCCGCCCCGACACCGACGGCGCGTACGACGGCTCCTCGTACCTGCACCGCACGCCCGCGCGCGCATTAGCTGGCTCTAGGGGGGGCGAGCTCCATTTGGAGACGGAAAGTCTAGTGGAGGGCCGAGCTATACAGGAGACGGAAAGTCTAGTGGAGGGCCGAGCTATACTGGAGACGGAAAGTCTAGTGGAGGCCGAGCTATACTGGAGACGAAAGTCTAGTGAGGGCCGAGCTATACTGGAGACGGAAAGTACTACTGGAGGGCCGAGCTATACTGCGAGACAAGTCTAGTGGAGGGCCGAGCTATACTGGAGACGGAAAAGTCTAGTGGAGGGCCGAGCTAATGACTGGAGACGGAAAGTCTAGTGGAGGGCCGAGCTATACTGGAGACGGAAAGTCTAGTGGAGGGCGAGCTATACTGGAGACGGAAAGTCTAGTTGGAGGGCACGAGCTATACTCGGAGACGGAAAGTTCTAGTGGAGGGCCGAGCTATACTGGAGACGGAAAGTCTAGTGGAAGGACGAGACTATACTGGAGACGGAAAGTCTAGTGGAGGGCCGAGCTATACTGGAGACGGAAAGTCTAGTGGAGGGCCGAAGCTATACTTGGGATACGAAAGTCTAGTGGAGGGCCGAGCTATACTGGAGACGGAAAGTCTAGTGAGGGGCGAGCTCTACTGGAGGCGGAAGATCTCGTGGAGAGGCAAGTTCTAATGTGGGGCTGAAGGTGGGAGTTGTGGGGTGTGGGGTGGTGGAGGACCATGGTCTGTGAATTGATAGGCCGAGAGTGTGAGGGCATGGGGGTTGTGGGGGCTCGTGGCAGCGTGTTGCCATGGGAGGTGGAGTAGTGTTGGGCGTGGCTCTAAAATAGAGAATAAAGACCGTAGTATTTGACAGGCCCGGAAACGCTAAATTAGCGCATAAACTTCTATGGACTCTATTCTCTTCACTGTAATGCATGTTTACATTTCATGTGATGGTGGTATTCATCACCCTCTAGAATGATAGATCTGGAGCTGGCCTACTCATCGGCCTGCGGAGGTATTCTTCTTTTGCACATCCCTAAGGACTCTGCCCCAGCCAGATTTATCCCCTAGGCATTTAGCAAAAACTATTTTCCATGTCATCAATATGCCACAGCATAGATTTTCCGCCCTTCTGAAACCCACGCACTTAAGCCGAGATCAAACCCTCACTTTGAGAGTTCAAGCTCACCATTGATCCACCTAGATGCGCTACTTTTAATGATCTACAAAACATCGAAAAAAATTTTCAAGATCAAGAAACTAACACAACTAACACTAATAAACAATGCCGGGACTGAGAAAAAAGATCTTGAAGGCGAAAGAAATGTTTGATATTACTGTAACTATACGGTGAATAACAAAATGCCGGGTTTGAGATTTAAAACGTCATGAAAATAACACAAATGTTCGAGAACAATACACCCAAGCATTGAAATGAAACAACGCATCCCCTGATGAAATGCAATATCATGAGCGAGCACCTGAGGATGAGCACGCAGATGGCGACGATGGTGTAGGCGAGCAGCGTGCCGATGGACATCATGTCGATGAGCTGGTTGACGTCGAAGATGGTGGCCATGATGGCGGCGAGCAGCCCCGACGCCACCGTTGCCAGCATGGGCGTCTTGGAGCGCGGGTGGATGCGAGCCAGCCACGCGAACAGCAGCCCGTCCGTCGCCATCGCGTACAGGATGCGCGGCAGCGGGAACATGGCGCCCAGCAGGCTGCCACCAACACACACCGTTCAATAATCACTCAAACACATTAGAACTAACTAACGTAGCAAGCTAGCAACTAACTAACTGTAAATAAATAATAAATAAATAAAATAAATAAAATAAATAAAATAAATAAAATAAATAAAATAAGTAAAATAAATAAAATAAATAAAATAAATAAAATAAATAAAATAAATAAAATAAATAAAATAAATAAAATAATAAATAAAACTGTTTCGAGACGTGTGAACATTCCGCATTTTGTGAATAATTGTTTTAAAAGTCGAATAGTAGCTTTGCAGAGGAACCCATCTCGAATGGTCAACTAGAACTGCCACACCCTGCAACTGTGCGTTACTGAATATACTCAGTTCTGACTAATTTTTAAAACGTTTATTAACCAATACAAAATATTTATTCTGTGAGAAAACAGAACAAATGTGAGTGAACAGAAAATTATATAGTAAATATAATGTTACATGTATTTCAGATTCCGCGAGTTTCTGATCACCCGTATTTCGGAGGTTACCCAGAAGAGATAAACTTTCAAAAATGTAGTAGAACGTCCAAAAAGAAAGCATTTTCTAGATTGTGGACAAAAATTGTAACTTGGGTCCCAAAACTGGATTTTAAAGGTAATAAACGCCCCGTTTCTGAGAAATACTGCATATAATAAAAGGTGGTTAAAGAAACTTTTCGGGTGGCATGCTCGTCTACTGATTGCATCGGAGCATTATCTAGAAAATTTTAATTTTTTATCTAAAAATCTGTCTCAGACACCACTGAGAGGTACTTCCCTCTCTACAAGTCGAACATTTAGGAGTCTTTGTGACGATAGCGTCTTCAAATTTGTTCAAAAACCGTCCGGAGTTATCATTTCGTCCACAAGAAATGATATAAGGATTCATTTCGCCAGTCAGTTGAGATATTATGTCTAAGAAAATTACGAAATCCACATATAATTTCTAAAAAGGTTTATTTCATCATCAAAAGTTATAAATAACTAATATTTTGTCGTAATTCTTATCTATCAGTAGAAATTCTTACTATGAATAATTTTCTCCAAAATGTCTTAACATTTCCTACGCCTTAATCTGCAATTCCAAAAAATGTCTACGTTTAGTTTTTAAGTTAGCAATACTAATGTTCAGCAAAATTAACTTTCTTACTGCAGTTTCATCAGAAATCGCAGTTTAAGGTCTACACTTTATGCGAAAGAGTGCCAAGGTCTTGCACTGATTTATTATCTATATGAATGTTGTGACTGGGACTGATTTTACTTCGTGCTTTTTGCGATGGCAATTTGCGCCTATACGCGATATGATGCAATGCAGAGGAACGGAAGGCACAGCGTTTTACATCAGCAACTTTGCATAAATTATCTTACATTTTGAGTTCGAGCTTCTGCGAACATTACACAAGCTTATAATATTAAAATGAGGGGATTTGAGGCGAACCGAAGTTCACTTTCCTGCACAATGCTGTATTTGGATACTGTAAGATATGGAGGAAATACTACAGTTTATTTTCGTCTATTAGTGATGTGTCGGAATTACCAATATGGGAATAAAAGGCCTTGCCATTGCCAACATCATTGGAAATTACTTTTATTCACATATTCAAGTGTCACAAATGACAATAACATAATATTCAAAAAAAGTTGTTTAGGAATCTGGCATCCAGGGTGGGTATGCGTTAGTGAGATCGGAAGGTATGGAGGGTGGAGGGGGGGGGGTACCGATCTCACGACTCCGTTATCATGTGCTTGGTAAAACTGAAGCATTTTAGAGTTTCTGACACTTTTCACTCAAAAAGTAGGTTAACATATATTTTTCGACGTACTTCACTCACGACTTAAGGGACTACAAATTTCTTTAATATGGTGAGTGGGGTCAGAAGAACCTGCATTCCACTGCCCGTTTTAGCCACCGTTTTGTTAAAGAAAACTGTGCGTATTTCTTTGTCGTGCTCACTAATCTTAAATATATTCAGAAGACACTAACAGACTTCTCTCTTGGCACATACACATACACACACATCATGGTAAAAAAACTCAAGGGGACTTAAAATTGATTTTACCACCGAAATCTCATCCTTGTTTCTTAATTTTTTTGTTGACAGATTGCAATACTATCCCTTTGTACTACTTGTACCTGAGGGAAAGTATAGCTAATTTGTGGTCAAGAGTACAGATGCATGTTTTCGAACCCGCTGGGTCGATTTCCCAGTGCAAATTTCTCCATATATTCAGTTTTATCTATGTAGGTTGCACTGGTTAAAACCGTCTGAACTCTTCGATGAGCTTTATGCGCAGGAGTGCTTCTGTCAAGTATTACTAAAAAAGGATATAAATTAGATATTCTTCCTCTATAAAGCAATATACCAGGAGTGGAGACTAATGTTATTAAAGAGATTTTTCCTATTTTTCTCAAATTATATCTCAAATGGAACATATTTACTCGAGTGTATATAATTGACAGCTTGTTTTCGTTGGATATATTCAAATAACAATAGATAATTGTATATTATAAGGAGATTTGGTTTTCAACGTGCATGAATTATTGTTCGGTTGGAGTCCAGTAGTCGGTCGGAGATCAATGGGACCGGCACTGCAGGCTTACAAGACTTCCTGGGATTAGAAGACAAACCCTGACGAAGACTTAACAGTACAACCCTATTAAATTAACGTCTTACGTAACAACATGCGTTCTAGAGACGGTATCATTTACCGATTGATTTGGGAGATGACGAGAATGAAGATAATGGTACACGATCCGGTGGTGGTTTGAGGGTATTTTCACGCGAGTTCAATGAGGTTAATTACGAGGGACTAGGCGATTGATTGATTAACTAAGGACATTAGTCCCATAAGCTTAATGCATGTTTTCATCGTGTAAGGGGGCGGTGATTTTTCCCCGCTGACTGGCGAGATCCGGCGCCGACCTACATCGGCTTGCGGGGATTTTCCTCAATCATCTCCCACCAGCGGAGCACCGCCCCAGCCGGTACGAGCCCTTGTAAGTGTGCTTGTAAGTGTGTGTGAAAATAGGACAAGGAAGAGGAAAGATATATCGCGCGCGGTCTGTAGCCCGTTTGTTATAGTACTGCTCCGGCATTCGTTTGTTACTGATCGGATACACCACGGAAATCCATCGACCAGAGCAGCCGACAGCTGGAATTCTCCTCCAGCCAGCGGCTGAGTTAGGTGTCTCGGGGGAACAAGGAGGGTTCGGAGCGGCGGCGGAGGTTCGGCGCACCTGGTGCAGAGCGCGAAGACGGCGCCGGTGGTGACGATCCACTTGATGACGGGCCAGCCCACCTGCGTGAACACGTACGGCAGCGGCGCCTTCTCGTCCTGCAACACCACACGACGACGCTCGCCGTCATTACCCCCTCCCTGGAGAGCGCACTTGCGAAAACAATACCTGGATAGGACCTGTGGGACTATTTATTTAGAGAACAATTAAAGCAGGTACTTGTTAGATATGCTTATTAAACTATCATACGTTTTTCTGTTCACAGACAGCTCTTCAAAAAAATACAATTTAAAACAATGAGTATTATGAATATATTATTTTTATTATAAACATTTTCAGGTTTTACGAGTTCAGTCACACTGTACGTTTGTATTGTTGGCTTAAAATAAACTACATGCTAATAACTTAATTCTAAAAATTACATCCTTTAGAAGATCGTGACCTATCCGCTTGCACTTGCTGAGGCCATCGACCCGAAGAAGTAGCGGCCTGACCCCAATCCTCCGCCAATCTCCCCCTCCCACCCGCGCCACGCGATCCCCGACGGCGATACAGGTGGCCGCAGGGCCTGAAGCACGTGCGGTGCACCTCTTAGGACACAAAGACGCACCCCAGACAATAGGCGCCGCTGTCACTGCTTATGCCAAAGGCACTGCGGAAGGTTTTCTGGATCAAGATGGACGGGTACGTACACTTTTCTCCTAAAAAATATCCTCTTGCTCGTATTGCAAGTTAGAGCATTATCTACAATAAGCTGAGCCGAGGAAATACTTATATTATTGATAAACATTTGCAAACGTATTTATTTATTTATTGTTATTAATTAATTTATTTATTTATTGTTATTAATTTATTTATTGTTATTAATTAATTAATTAATTTATTTATAGCCGAAGTACGTCTCTTGAGGGTAATGCCTCCCTACCTCTCGGACGGATCAGTTCACACAATAAGGAATACATAAAACTACACATTAGTAACAACAACACCAAACGTCCCTTCTGCGGCAAATTTCGTAAAGATATTTTTCTTGATGCAGCGTGTTAATCTAATTTATTAAACACAATTACTATCTTTCTGGAATTAAGTCTTTGAAGGAAAGCACTCAAACGACCTCCAACTGCCAAAAATTACGCCCTCTGCGTTTCGCTTCGTTGAAACCGCTTTAAAAACAGGAAATAATGGAATGGATCGCTCTATGACAATATTGGTCCCTTTATTCGTAAGCATATTTTTTAATAAATAATTCAGCATCGATATGTTCTAAATAAAAAGTAGTTTATTGACAAACAAACTTATTAATTTGACATTTAGTACAAAACAGTTCAAGTTAGCACATCCAGTGCTAATTTGACCATAACATTTTTTTGTTATTTAAACAATACGTCTATTTGCTTTGGGAAAAGGGGAGCAGCTTATCGCCTGGCCTTCGGGATGGAACATGGTGGGGTAGGCCTTCGGGATGGAACATGTGGACATGGTGGGGTAGAAAGCATCGTGCGCAGGACGTGGCTCGATTTCATGTGCTATTTTGAAATCTGCCATAAATTTATTGATTGAATGATTCTTGAATCTAGGCGCGTCAACTGCTCAGGCCATTATTCCTGAAAGTATAGTGCATGATATTATCGCGGGAGGAAGCAGTGATCTCCCCTCGCTGGTGGGCGAGAACGGCGTTGACCTACACGTCGGCTAGCCAACAAGGTATCGCCCACCAGCGGGGCACCGCCTCAGCCGGGACAGGCTCTAAGCTCCCGACCGATCTCCCGACATGTGTATTGCACGTAAATGTTAAGAGTGTGTAAGTAAAGGATGAGGATAGGATAAGGGAGGAAGAGGAAGGAAGAGGAAGGAATGATCGTGCGCGGTCAATGACCCGTTTGTTGGGGTACTGCTACGGCATTCCCTGGTGTTACTCGGAGAAACTCCGATCAGGGCAGCCGAAATCTAGAATTCTCCTCCAGAAAGCGGCTGAATTCGACATAGCTACGTCCCCCAACACATAGCTAGTGTTGAACATCCTGCTACCATCGGGACTTGAAGCCTGGGATTTCCCGGCCTCAGAATCGGCCTTGGAAACTCGGGTGAAACCCCAGGGGAAACCACGGTGACGAACTATCGTAGAGGTTCCTAGACTTCTCATTCAGACAGTAGTGTCGTTAGGGCCCACTAGTAGTCTGTTTGTGTCGAAAATCGACTCCGGGTTCGAATCTAACTCCTCCCGATTAACGAAACTTCATAATACAAACATACGTAATACCGTGGTTCTCAAACTTTTCTGATCACGGAATTTTTGGAAGATTTTATTCTGTCGGATTCGCGATTTCGCGATTCTTTCGCGATTAATTTGATGCCTAAACTATATGTAAGACCACGACATTAATTTTAACTAGCTATTTTCATTGCATAACTTAGTAAGTTTGTAAGTTAAGGGAAATATTTTAGAAGATTCTTCTAAAATGTCTATCTTACCTTAAGGAAACATTACTTAAAGTCACAAGTATTCGTTTCTCAATAATGATCGCATTCTCAACATTTTGTATTAGCGCAAAATATGAGCGAATACTGTTAACGTAGCTGTTTACAAGAGTGAAAAATTGGGTCAATGAATGTGCTTTGCTCCATGCAGAATAAAGATAATCACATTCTTCGAAGTTAACTACAGCTCTGTGGTAATAGCACATGTCCAAAAATTCAAGGACGCACTGATAGTGAACAACAATGAGATAATTCCGCACAAATACATATGTTGCTACGAGGGATAACTTGGTCATGGTTATAAAGAATTGAAGACAGTAGGTCGATAAAAAAGTAATTTTCTTCTGAATTACACTGACTTTGAAAAAAACATTAAGCCTGAATTACGAAAAATGTTTATCAATGGCTAGATTTTTGTATTGGGAATATATTTTTTCATTTTCCATAAGCGCTTAATAAGCATTTTTAAGAGCCCAGTTCCTGAATTGTAGTAATTCCTTGATCGAGCTGTAACGTAACGGTCTATTTGTATATTTAGTACTTACTTATTAAGAAATGACTTACGGCATCCTTGCAGGCCAAGTAATACGATCCATGTATAACAAACCTAAACTACTGCAAGGTATGAAAATTTATTTATCAGAAATTCGAACGTAAAATTATAGATTGACGGAGTGTTTTATTACAAACATTTTCAGGTTTTACGAAGTTCAATTCACACTACATTTGTATTGTTGGCTTAATATAAACTAATTGCTAATACATTAATTCTAAATATCATATTTTTGGCGGTGGAATCTTTCTTGGGGAGATCTCAGGGGATTACGTTTCGGAAAACTTTGTAAGAAAGATATCGAAGAGAAATCTATTTTTAATACGGGTATCATGAGTGCATGAGTGGGATTTCTGTCTAACCGGAAGGGACGTATTCTGGTGATTTGAGGTAAGCTATGGTAAAACTGTGTGAAGCACGTGATGTGGTTTCTATAGTTTCGCGTTGGAATTATTTGTGCAGTTGTCCGTTAGAAATAATCAATGGTGCTTTTCTAATTGTACGGAGGAACTGTTTTGTACGATCTGTATTTTTTGTGTTCGATCTTGCGGCATTTATTCAAACTGGCCAAATACATAATAAGAGTGGTGTAGTTAGGGTTTTAAATGTAGTTAGGACTGTCTTATATGGACGTTTGGCTGCCCTGTTTATTATTGGGCTGAGTTGGTAGTATTTTGCTTTAGCCTGGAATATTTTATTATTTATAAGCTATTTCCAGTTTGTGTATCCATTAATAATCGTACATAAGGTTTGTTTCGCGGGTATCAGTTTATTACTTCTTGATTTAACGTAAGTGGAATGGGAGGAAAATACGAGTATGGTCTCATGGTGAATATTTTATAGCAGTTTTGTTTGGATTAAGGGAGTAAGGATGCCTTTCATACGAGTGTTTAATATTTATTTATTTAATTAACTACATATCTGATAATACATTGGGTAATGAATATACGATATTGAAAGATAACGATTTGATAATTACGTATGGATTCTTCGCACACAACATTTTTTTTAAACGGATTATCATAATCAAATGCAATTTGTGGGTCTGCCTCATTAATAATTTTACGTTATACATTAATAATTATACTAGTACTAATAATACTAACAATAACAATATTTTATCCGCTTCGGTTATCTGAACTCACTCTGCTGTTTGATAAATAAGAGAAGATAATAAGAGTTATTAGAATACAAGTGTACCAATATTCCACAGCGCACTATCAACAATAATCATCGTAATATTTAAATAATATTAGAATGAATCCATGGCCCCCTATTAACTACTATCAACAAGAGAACGTCACATTCCGTAGGGCAAATAATCCGAATTATACAAAAGGTAAGGTTCATTTCCATTTTTACGAAGTGAATAAAACGTAAGATACGTCTGTTAATACGTACCGTAAATACGTTTCATGGTTACATCTTATTACAAGACCTAGTCGATTGATTGCAATGAATATGATTATAATCAATTGATAATAAAATTAGTCCGATGGGCCGGTTTGATATTTCTCCAATCCCTAAATAATAGAATTGCTATAGTTTTAATAGTATTACGATAATTTCTTCGTGAATAGCTATTCAAATTACGTAAGCTGTATTTACACAAACGTATCATCCATGAAATTTGAAAGAAAAATAAATGTATTATACAAGTTTAGCAGCAAGTGAGAGAAATCAAATTACGCCTTGCACCCACCTGCATGTAGTAGGGGCACATGAGGGTGAGCACCGTGGAGATGCCGAAGTAGGCGAGAAAGATGATGACGAGCGACACCACGATGGCCAGCGGGATGGACTTCTGCGGGTTCTTCGCCTCCTCCCCTGCGGGCCACGGAAAGCCTCGTTAGAAGCGACGAGTTGAGTGAACTTACATGCCCGGGAAAAGGAATATTACAGAACGAACTAGGATTTTTTGTTTCAGAATAAGTTATTATTTCCCAGCATTAGTTGTGTAGAATTTCCAAATTGAATTGTTGAATATTATATAGTACATTTGTATATTATATATTATATTGGTATATTATTCAATTTTCTATTATGAATGAAATATAAACAATAAATTATTATTATAAAATAATTTATTGGACATATTTACTCTTACAGTTTTTACCTGGAGATGAAAACGAAAGATTTCCAAAGAGTCATAATTGAGGTAACAGATGTTAAACCATGTGAAATAAATAATTTAAAATAGGATTGTCTATAATTCATAGAGGAAAATTGAAAAATATATCAATTAAAATTGAAAAAGACAATCAGATAAAGTCTTTCATGGTATTATTGTACGTCGGAAATCTAGTTAATCGTTTCTTCAATCATGCCTATGCCATTTTCTATATGATACCGATATGTTTTCCATTGTCGATACCTTTTGGTACCCATTTCACAAAAATAGATAATTTTATTCGAAAGTATTACAACAAAATGTTTAAAACAATTCACAATAACAATAATATCTTATAAGTGAAGTAAAAAAATGAATTTCACAAGACATTTTGACTTTTCTACTCTAGTAACAATACCAGTGCGAGTTTATTGACTTTTCAATATCGATACCAACAATAGAAAATTCCGAAGACAAGAGAACAGATTCTGGGAGAACGGCAATGCGTGCGTGTACTGACCGGTGGTGGCGACGCAGTCGAAGCCGACGAAGCCGTAGAAGCACTTGGCGGCGCCGCCATGACGCCCGCCACGCCGAAGGCATGAAGCCGCCCGTGCCCACCAGGGCCGGGTCGGTGGCGCCCCCCTCGCCCGCACCAGCCGCCAGTTGCCCGCGTCCGCTAAGCACAACAACGATATCAATACGAAATAAATAATAATAATAATAATAATAATAATAATAATAATAATAGTAATAATAATAATAATAATAATGTATAATAACAGGTATCTCAAATTAAATGATTTGAAGAAATTAAGGAAGATGAGGTAAGGAAAGTAATGAAAGATGTTTTAATAAGGATCGAATTCCAGGAAAAGGCAAAAAAAATAGGGTTTCCAAGAAGAAAATATCAAACACGCACGAGACAGAAGAAAGAATTGCTAGGAAAGAAAAAGGAGAACTTGTTCTAAATCAGCTGCTTCCCATGGCCCAAATTCTGGTCTTCTGCAAACAGGGGAGCATCGATTGTAAGATCTGTTCTCCATCGCGGCTTTAGAGCCCCATCAATAAGTCGAACATGCACTTGCTCGTGATTGCGTAACAAATAAAATTTACAGACATACGGGATACCGACCGGTTCAGTGGAAACAAAAACTCGCTTCCTTGGGTCAGCAATAGAAATAATAATAATAATAATAATAATAATAATAATAATAATAATAATAATAATAATAATAATAATTCATCTTTTTCTTCCGAAGTTACTTCCATAGAATAAATCTCGGCCGGCAGATCACAAGGTTCTATGAAATATGCACCGAAGACAAGTGACGAGGCAACCCTTTGGACATAATGTATAAATAGAGACGCTGCTGTAATCATCTTAACTCACACTGTATGGTTTTAACGTCCACACTTGTGACCTTTCCAGCTCATGACCAAATAAAATTTCGAACTTACTTATTTTTGAAGGAAGTTCAAACTACAACATGAAGCACGAGGCCAAATGTGAAAAAGTGACGCATTAGAGACACAATAATGCACTTCTTCCAGTAATTTTATCTTGTGAAATGTAATTCCACTTGGATAACGATATGTAAATTTGATATTGGGTTTATGAACTACGGTAATTTTAATTATTTTCTTAATTACTGAGAAATGAAATGAACGAAGTGCTTCTTGCAATTACGGTTTTATTTTCTGTTTGGAGAATGGTCGACGAAATAATCTGCAATTAAGTATGAAATGCATGTGCAGATAACACATGTGGCTTCAAAGGTCACTTTGTGTACGGACCAAATCAGTCTCTCTTGATGTGTCTGGAACCAGAACTTCGACTCTCGAAGCAATAAATCGGTTTCAAAATAATTATTATCAAGAGTTTGAGTACACATCTGCTTTGGCATTTTTCATTCTACGTTTACTGAATTTTTGCGAGTATTTTAGTAGTAGCGTTTTCAGAGTACTTCGTCCGTTTGGAGAAATTACATAACTGTCACGACAATTAAAGTAAGAATGAAATAAACGTAGGTCATCCAAATAATACCTTTCGCCGATGACAAAGCAATACATTTTTCTTTCATGTCTTGTTTAAATGAAGTTGACATATACACAATACCTTTCCAGTTTCCAATTAAACAAACACCTAAAATCCATCAAAATGGCACGCTAAAATCTCCTTCTTACGTAACTGAAACAGTCACTCCTCACAAATTCTCAACTTTTGAAATTTATTTGATTATCATGAGTAACAATCAAACATTTAGAAATTGTATTTGGTGGAAGATAACAAATCCGGTTCGATTTATGGGACAAAATTGGATCAATTTTTCTATTCATTATCTTCCGTATTTATTACACTAGAACATTACATAATCCAAGACATTTTAAGACCCTTTGTAAACGTGATCAATATCAAGCATAACAGCCGGGGCAAGAGTTTTATGTTTCCTTATCGTCAAAGCAACGGTAAAAACTGTATGGGATGTATCTGAGATGGGAGAAGAACATGATTTCCTCATCTTCGGAATTTCAATCTTCTCTAACAAAAGTCTCTCTTACTTTTATGATCAAATGCATCTTCAACGGAAAATATTAATATGGTTTAAAATATTCAGTCATAATCATCATATGAATAATAAAGCATACAGCGTGAAAAAATATATCAATTAGTACTTAGTTCAAATAGAGGATCTTTTTTACTTTAAATTCCGAGTTCCTCATTGATGTTCTGGGTAATTTCCGACAATATTTGCTGGACGTTGAGGTATAGATATCCGAGTCTTCTCTGTAAGGAACTGGTATAATAATCATTCTAAATGACAAATTGAACTACCTTATATTCGGCTTTAACAACTTTTTTCTTTAATTTATACGAGATACCACAATCCAAAAGATTATCTTATGTCTGAAAAAACGTCGTAAGTTCAGCAAATGACTTACACGATGTCTCTTTTATCATTGTTATTTGAAACAACCAATCCGATTGACTATAATTCCTGATGTGATAATGGTGATTAACAAATAAAAATGTAAAAGAAATGATATACAAAATCACAGGAGACTAGAGTGTGATTTTGTTTCAGGATGTGATGGCAAATTGAATTTAATTTTTTCCAACCTATTCGAACTTGGCGATGAATGTTCATAAAGAAACTAATTTTACGTTCGGAGTAACAACTCTGATGGCTAGTGTTATAAGAGAAAGTGCGTCGCAAACGAAATGAAGAAGGATACAAAATAGCGCCCGAAATGCTGGCGACTGTGCCTAGTACGCGGCATCTCCCTGATAGCCACGTAGCTAGTGACTCCGATCGCGGAGGCCTCCGCTCTCATAATTTATACATGCTGCCAAAGTAGAGATGACAAATGAATCGGGTAAGTGGCTCCGCGTCTATGGCTCCCCCGTACCGAGTGGCGCGGGGGAGCGGGGGCGAGGGCGGTGCTCCCCTGCACTGGGATGAGACGCTCCCCCCCCCTCTGCCCCCGCGCGACGCACCGGCCCAGGGGGCAACGCCCCCTCGCCAGCCGCGACGCACGAAAAACAAGAGACGGCGCTTTCCACTGACTACGAAGAATAGTCACGCCTGTGTCACTCAGATAGATCCAAATCTGTACGTGGGCGCAGACAGTTTAGATTTGTGCTGGGTGTCGTCATTTAGGAGAGTTTTAACAAAAATTACATTACTATTTTAAGTAAATTGTATGAACATAAAATATGTAAACCTGTTTGTGCATCTAATTTTTCAACAAAAATTTTGTCACAAGTTTATGTTACATACTACTTTGCGTGTTTATTTCAATGGATCACTTCCTATCCTAATTTGTGTGGTGGGCCTAATCCGATACGTCAAAAATCAATAGATTAAAGTCACCTAGTCAATATTTATCAAGAAGAAAAATGTTTCCCCCACCACTAATCACTATAGTTCCGGACGATCAAGAGCGTTTAATGTCAGGTTAGCATAGTTTCGAGATTGTAAGAAATGTCTAGGCCTGGATAGGATATAATTCTGCTATGACGCGAACTACTGAGGCCACAATCCTAGATCCTGGCATTATGCAACTTTTTTGTAGGCCCATATTACAAAAAGGAATCATTATCTGATTAGCTATACATTCATCTTACGCAAGGATTCACAAATCGGGGTTGCCCTACCAGGGGTAAGCAGTAAGCTTGTAGGAGAGCACGTAAACAACGTTGCAACCATTTTAATTTTGTATTTTCTAGTATCATTCAACCTGTCGTCAAATAAGTGCTTTTTGTATTAAGAATTTTTAAAAATTGGGGAAAAACGCTCCAGTTGAGGAGCGGGATATCCGCATGAAACTTGCAACTGGAGGACCAGCCGCAAAGACGGAGCAGTACCTTAACAAACGAACTACGGATAATAACCTATCTTTCTTCCCTCCTCCTTGTCCTATCCTTACTCTTTACACTTGCATGAATTACTCCACCACACGTTGGGAGTTAAGATCTTGACCCGGCTGGGGCAGTTCCCTTCTGGAGGAAATCTCTGTAGGCGGGATCCATAAGCTAGCATTTGGGTAAGTCCCCGACCTCACTATTTACTAGGCTGTCCGGGTGACGCCGCGTCCATGGCGAAGGTGCCGACGTTTCGGTCGCCATTCTGCGACCTCCTCAGAATGGGCGACCGAACAGTCGGCACCTTGCGCTAGTGACGCGGCGCTCACCCAGACAGCCTAAGTAAATACGGACTCCGGCGCGGAAGCCTAACGCTCTCCCCGACCTCACGTTCGAGCAGGGAAGAACCCGTCACCTCTCGGGGATATAACGCCTATCTACGAACGACTACCGGCATTACCGGATCGGGGCACCTCAAACCTCGTATATTTTTGGGCTACAGTCTCGCGGACACCCCTGATGTCTTCAACAGTTCATACGGCGGGAGCGTGCTAGGTGTTGCGCTCCGTGGATGCACATGTCCGCGTGGTGGCTTCAGCTGCCGAGCACGCGCTGATGCAATATTACGTAAAGCGGCGTGGGGGTGGCGGGCCTTCGCATTGCCATGATCCGCTTCCTAGACGGCGGCGGCGGCGGTGGCGTCGCGAGATAACGGCGGCGGCGCAGCGGCTGGCGAACGGCCTTGGCGGATGCGGCCGCCCGCGCGCAGTCTGTTGGCTCTCGAACCAGTGCTGCGTCGGATTTGCCGCCCCCCTCCCCCTCCTGGCGGTTACTGTTGCATCCAGAAGAACCCCTTCCCCCAAACCCAACACTTTACTTTCTGGTTTGCAGAGAAAGAACACCGTGGAGAAAATTAGAGATTACTACGATAACAATCAATGGGTAGAAATTCTGTTCTGGGTATGAACCGTTCATGCACGCTGTCGATTCTGAGAATGAGTCATTCTTCAATGAGACGCGGTGAGCGCAGCCGACGAACTTTTCTGCGGAAAGTGTCGCTTCACTACTCAGTTCCAAGTGGAGGGCGAGGCTCGGGCCTACGGCCTTCGCATTAACATAAAACATTGCTGAGTCTGTCCAACGCATAATTACTAACGCATTTATGCATGTACTCTTCTTAAAAATCATTTGTCGTGTATATTTTCTTAATGTTTTCCCAGGAAAGCCTCTATTTTTGTTGCCTTCTGTTTGCCCCACCTTATGTACTTCTGCGTGAAAGAATGGTACGCGTTTGCCGGCGTGGACGACTCGTGCCACAAACAGACAATCAATGCAGGGACATGCAATGAGCATTCCTAACACCAAGAATACCTTTTTTTCTTTCAAAAACGCCCGTCGCGCCGTCCAGCCGGCCGCCTGTGTAAGAAGTACACTAGCGTCTATTCCCCCAAAATGAGGAAACTGTATGTTGGGGTGGTTAAAGAGCCCTAAGCCGAAAGAACCATCAGATCGAAGAAGTGTGACCACATGAAATTTGGTATTGATTTTTGTAGTTTAATCTTAAATCTCAATCGACATATTTTCATGTACTATGCCGGAGGCGGGAAAAGCTAGACAGTACATAGTATTGTAGTATTATTAACATATATTTTAATTATGATAGCACAAATGAACTTTTTCAAAATATGAAATTATTTTATAAAATGTTTTACGTGCCGGAGGCGCTACAGTAGAGCACAACTAGAGCAGAGAAACACAGTCTTTGTCCGCGAAATAAATGTCCCCGTTCAAGTTATAACCGTTCTACAAATGGCATTTCTTGTTATCTGTCACCTTTCCTGTGTATTGCTAAAGTGTCATGTCTTGCCTGTTGTCTAGCTCGTTATGTGACTGGCCGTGTCACTTTGGCATTCCAGAACAGGCGGTGAGGAGAATCTGAGAGGTGGCACAAACAACCTTACAATATTCTTTTACTGAAGAGGTTGCTCCCACATTGCTTTTGAAACCTGCGAAGGAAAGTCACAAACATGTCACAACAAAAAGGGAGAGAAGAAAACCTCCTAATTCTGCTCATCTTTACTGCATCTCCATAATAAAAGTTCTTGCGTAAACGTGTTTGCCAGGTTTATCTGTTTTTCTGTTTCAAAAACGCATTCAGCTCTTCAAACAATACGCGCTGTTTTGTCTGGTAAACAGTGTTGATTGCTAAATGTTAGCAGCTCGAACTATTGATGAATATTAGAACCAGTATACATAGACATCATTTTAGAAAATATTTTCTGTATTTTTCTTTTTTATTGAATATCTTGCTCTCAGTTGCTGCTCTGCAACCATATTTATACCTACTTGATTAACTCACTATTGAAGGAGCAAGATTTCTCAGATCCTATATACTGCTTCAGGTGTAAGGACGGTCTGGTACAAAGAGACCGAATGTGTCGATAACTGTGTTGGCGTTCAATGAGAGTATATTTTTGACATTACAGAATTTATCTTTACATCATAAAGTCCCTGCGACATTTTCAAAATTTTCTGAAAAATGGCCCAAAATTTTTATTTAAATTTTTTAAAGAATATTTTTAAGTATATCTATACACTTATAAAGATGGTATAGGTCCGATTTTCGCTGTTAACTATGGATTATCGTTAACATGAGCTCTGAGCTCATGGTTAAGAACCGAGCTCTGAGGGACGTGTCTGCCTTATGGCGGCACGGTTCGAAGACAACTTTTTATTCAAGATTCTGCAGAGCGACATTTTAAGAATAATTGAAACTCGTCAGACTTTAACCTCGAACTCCGATATTATCCAATAGAGCTAATGAACTGACGAGTTACGAGACAGCTGCACGATTTTTCAAAGCAACAAATTGATATGAGGTCACCCTGGATAGACGAAGGGGTTAGAGTGAGCTTCGACTTCGCCTCCCGGTCTTGAGTATAGGACACGAATTGCCGCGAATGGACCTTCCCTTTAGAGAGTTAGATATACCCTGTTGAAAAAATATTAATTTGTTCCAGCAAGAGATACATTTGTCATAATCCATTTCAAGCCAGTTATTTTTTTGTTTTTAATTCTTACTCTTTGAGATATTCAAATTAGGGAATTAAAATAGAAAATATTTTGTACGTAAATATATGAGTACTTATTAGCCCCTTTGAATTTGGCATGGGCTCCCTTCCAAGGCATCAGTGCCCACATGTAAGTAGAGTTAGCGGTCACACGTGGGCATGTCACTGATCTCTAGGGATCGGATTTCAATGCAAATGTATATTTTCCCTGTAGACAGAAAGTATAATCACCTAGTTTATGAACGGAGCGCTCAATTTTTTATATTATCGAAACATGATTTTACAATGCACATTTTGCCTGTTTTCTTAGTAAGCTTCAAATTTCAGCATTTGCCTTATTTTTCCGCATATTTTGCTCGAAAATGTGTATTACTACTTATATATCCACAGTATATATTTGAATAAATGTAATACTTAATTGTGTGTTTCTACATATGTGGTTTGTTGTAGCTAATACCAATTTCCTGTAACGGAATTATACATGACAATTAATGATTTTAAATACGCTATTACTCCCTGTGAAATCCATCTTGAAAATCGGTACCACTAAGACATGTAACTTGAACTTCCACATATAACGTGGGAATTTTCGTTGCTCTTCGTGATTCTGATACTAATTCTTAAATGTATTTATCACTGTGCTAACCAATACTACTAATCTTATGAAATTTCATTAAGCAGTCTACAAAGGGTAACGTCCTAGATGAATGTGCGACTGTGCGTACAAAATAGGGATATTATTAATATTTTCAATATTTTTACTGCTTAAATGCATGCATATTCAATAGATTATTAGTGCATACACATCCGGTCCCTATTTATTTCATAGTAAAAACGTAACAACCCCGGTTTCGTCATGTCACCACTGATTGTTCACGATTTGTATTGCTTTTAACATCCTTCCCCCTCTGGAGAAAAATTTACAATTCATTCTCTGCTTCAATGTTTCTTGCATGCCATTTACCGAGGGCTGTCTCGAGGGCGGGTCGCCTTCTGCTAGTCGCAGAGCCCAGGAGGCTCCGCAGTCTTCAGTCAGTGATTCGCCCTGGGGACACTGCGGCCAACGTGTGGATTTGAAGATAAACTTTGCTTTAGGACACCAATTGCTGAAAATCTACTACCCGCACTAGGTTCTTCAATTTTCAACAACGTACCTATGCAAACTACAGATGTTCGACATTACGACCTGTGTTACGAAGTGACTTTCTTCTGAAGACAAATAATTTAAGTGTATTTGTTTGCAATTACTTCTTACAATCAACTATTGTGCAAAAATAAACCCAGATTTTACATTACATTACAATAATATTTACGGAAAATTGGTTAATTGGTGAGTAATTAATGCAACTGTAAAGACTTTGTCTCTAAATCTTAGCTTTTAAATTAAAAAATGGCATTACGTTAGTATTTAATGTCATTTTTTGTATGTTCATTATGTTTCCTTCTTTGTCCATTATTTTCGCTGAACACGAGGTAATTTTGCAGCTAACTACTGACGACCACTGATGATGATTTTCACCCAGTAGAAGATAACTAGTTTAGCTTAAAAATAGAAAAAACCTTGGGGAAAAATTAGTATGAGCGTAAACTTGACTTACCCTTCAAAGAACCAGCTATGATGACAATGAGCACAGTGACGATGTTGAGGCCCGTGAACAAATTGTTAAGGATGGTGGATTCCTTGACGCCTAGCGACAGTACTCCTGCAAGAAAACGTCACATCAATTACGATCTCAACCCAAAAGAAGTCCATAGCATAACATGTGCGTCAATGTTGCCCTTTGATAACTAATCAGTGCAATCTTAAAACACTTTGTCACATCAGATACATGACAAACTCCGATACGACTGACGGAATTCTCTTGGAAGTGCACTTTGAAATGCCGTAGAATGGGAGTTGTCTGGTTTCTCCAGGGAACACATTGTAGAACATTTCTATTAGGCGTACTCGCGTTTATCGCAATGGCCACGCATTCAAATGATGTTTGAATACTCGACGTTAAAACAAACAGGGTATAAGAGTGTAATATATATATATATATATATATATATATATATATATATATATATATATATATATATATATATATACTCCACTAAAATACTGGAAATCTCAATGCAAATTTCGAAATAAATGCTTTGTAAATAATATTTTTCAAAAAAAAATATTAGTCTTAATACGTATAACATTAAACATGATGCCTTTATTCTCAATAATTTGACGAAAAGGATCCATAAAACCATACTCATGTTATTTTAACATGTTTTAAGATTTCAATTTAATATATGCGGTTTTCTATAGCGCAAATATTCTATATTTGAGCTATAGAAAACCGAAGAGCAAAGATATTTCAAACCATAAATATTTGCTCTTCGGTTTTCTACAGCGTAAGTTCGGGCGAAGAGAACTGGTGATGACAATCATGGTACAGAAGAAGGAAAGATTTGAAAGTCGAAGTCAAGGTTTGGGAAGATGGAAGGGATCGTTTCTAGCTGGAATCAGAAATCAAAGAAGGAAAAGGAAATTGTTGTTAAGTATAATTGTTTATGTGTATATCAAGATCATTTTCCAAGTTTTTACCATGGGAAAATACTTGTTTAAATAACACTCAAATATAACTAATATAAATAAATGTGAATGTTATATATCTGTCTCAAAGTTAAACATTCTTTAAGCAATATAAATTCAATGTAAAGATTAAGGTTTCCAAAGTTTTCTAATGTCTTAAGCATGACTGGAAAGAAATTTGTTTGTCAATGCTTTAATGGTTTAAAGCCTTTTATGTGTAGCACGTATATTATGTTACCATACATAATATGTAATATTTCATTTATTAATTTTCATTTGGATATTGGTTTAAAGTATGGAATATAATTTGCCAGTAAAATGATCATCTTAATTTGGAAATAAAGTTTAAACTGGGTTTGTTTACCATCGAAATGTCATCTCATACCTGTGAGTAACATGACGATGCCAAAGGCGAAGAAGTCCGGGAAGGGCGACAGGAAGGATACACCCATGGGCATCACCTCCATGGTGGCGTTCTCCATAGCGCCACCTGCCAGGCTGTCGATGTAGCTGCTGAGGCCCCGAGCCACGGACGCTGTGCCTGCACACACATAGAGATCGCTAGTGTTCGTCCAATACAGCACTACTGGTTTTCTTTGTTGCCACCAGGTTCGCTCGAGTATGGCGCGTATGACCAACTTATTAATTTTCGTTTTTTGGCTTCGAACACGGAAGTACCCGCTTGGAAAACAAGAACATGCTGTAAACGCTGTTGATGCTTAGTGCCCATAATAAAAGTGATATTCATATTTTGTGTTTAATGAGAATATTGAGGTGTATTGTTTACAAAAATTCACACCATCTGTTGTCTGAGTAATAGATAGATAGTTGGTTGGTTGGTTGTTAGCGATTCCGGCCGCGATAACTACAGAGGCCATTATTCCCGTAAGTGTAGTTCGTAGTTTTCCTCATCCCCACCTCCCGGGATAAAACATTTACTACAATAACGGGACTAATGACAATAAGATTTACTGGGTCCGGAAACATCAATCAAACAACCAATGAACAGAGTATGAACCAAATTTTTCATGTGAGAAACATAGAATATCAGCATAATATTAAAATATCGTTCGTAAAATCAGTACTTTGCCTTTTCAATTAGAGAATAATCTGAATACTTTCTCCTCTCGCTCAGCTCTTTCCCGCGGCTTAATAACCAAAACATACGTACACCCATTAAACCAAAACTGCGCACCCCCATTAAACACACATGTACAGTAAACTGGTAAGTGTGTTTAAATGGGGGCTCTCCGTAAGTATCAGATAATAAAACCGTGCACAAGTTTAGAGGTTCAGGAAGTAAATAATACAAAATCATTATTTCCTTTTTGAGTCTCATTGTTTACAACGTATACTTTTCTTTTCTCGATTTCCAATAACTCTTATCCCCTGTCATTCAAATGTACGAAATGATATTTGTTTCAATTATCCTGTCGAAATTTCTTGCAATTCTAGGAGGAATGTCATACCTTACTTCAATACGTTCTTTTCAGCTACAAGGATGCGGAACTTACAGAATTATGAAAAGGCATGGTAATTTAATCAGAGACCTGAAATACACCATCAATTATATTATTTCCTGTCATGAATTCGTTTCATTTTATGTTCACTATTTTTCGTATACTATGAAACGTCTGAACCGTCCTTGCTATATCGCCAGGCACATTAGAGACTATACTTTAATGTCCACGAAGAAATTATAAAAAATATTGTAATTTTAATTTTATTTTATTAAGTCTTAAGAGAAAGTACGGAGGGGGTGTTTATGGATTCCTAAATGATAGACATTTCCTCACATTCCATGAAAAAAACGCGATGGAAGTATCGGACAGCATGCAAAACAGTACTACTTGATATATCAGCATTCTTTTCTCTACACCTTTCAAAGTTGCTGTTTTGTATGAGACATGATGATCTTTTCTCTAAAAAAACAGGAAGTGGTCGATCTTTTAGAAACCGCTTCGCCCATAGCCCGCTTGAAGAATTGGGACAATAATAAACAGGACACACGCACATCAAATGTTCACAAGAAAAATAGCAGAGATAACATTCCATTAACGAGCAAAAATCGGGTAATGCATTTTGTATATTTCGGTAGTAATAACATTCATTGCGTAATGTATATATTGCACCTAAACAAGAAAATATAGTGTAAGCGGTCATTCAAATAATGCCCTGCGTATAATTCTTGGGCAATGAAAGAATTGTTGTTTTTTTAACATTCTTCTGTATGAGAAAAATATTGTCGTGCGGGTACAGACAACTTAAGTGTAAACAAACGGAACCAGGTTGTGAAATAACGAAAGAGGCTCCTACTTAGTCCAAGCAATAATTTTTGGCAGGAACACACTTCACCCATAGCGATGTCTCAGTAATGATTTATCACTATTTTAAGTGTCCAAATCAACGAATGCAAATTAATCAAACTTTCCCGAGAGTATTAATTAAGATTTGCAGACTAAGCAAAGATGATTCTATGTTTCACTCCTCGGTTTGACTCTACCCCTGGAAGAGAAGTGCTATTTTGCACCCCTGCTTCGAAACGTGGTACAGTGAAAAGATGATGTTTAAATGATTTTTTAATCAAAACATTTCGTTTTTTCCTTCGCTTGCATTAACCAGTGTGCAGCTGCGAAACAAGAATCTTCCTTTGAAGCAGGCGGCCTCGAGCGCCGCCGCGGCGTGTCTGGACCCAATCTCCGTTTCCCACAGGCGCCGCCCGCGCTTCAGGGCAACCGGCACTCCAAGGCAACAGAAACACGTCACACAGACTTGGCGTCCACACAACCACATGTCTGCGTTCAGAGACGATTTAAAGCCAAGCGCGGAGCGCACAAGGCTAAAAGAGGCGGTGAAGAGGCGGGGCGGGTAATAGGACAGCGAGAAGAGGCAAGAGTCGAGGCGGCAACGAGGCGAAGCAGGAAAGAGGCAAATTTGACAAAACGCAGATGGGACAAAAGGCGAAGAGGACAAGAGACGAAGCGGACAAGAGACGAAGCGGACAAGAGACGAAGCGGACAAGAGACGAAGCGGACAAGAGACGAAGCGGACATGAGACGAAGCGGACATGAGACGAAGCGGACATGAGACAAAGTGGACAAGAGACAAAGTGGACAAGAGACAAAGTGGACAAGAGACAAAGTGGACAAGAGACAAAGTGGGCAAGAGACAAAGTAGGCAAGAGACAAAGTAGGCAAGAGGCGAAGTGGACAAGAGGCAAAGCGGACAAGAGGCGAAGTGGCCAAGAGGCGAAGTGGACAAGAGGCGAAGTGGACAAGAGGCGAAGTGGACAAGAGGCGAAGCGGGCGAGAGGCATAGTGAAGAAGAGGCGGCCCCGGGAAGGATTGTTGAGCGGACCGGGGTGTGCGGGACATGGTGCGGCTGGGTAGGTGAGGGGAAGGGAGGGGCGGAGAGCATGCCGGGCACTGAGGCGGCAGAGCGGGGCTGAGGTGGATGGGCGGGCGTGGGCTGTGTGAGAGGCCGGCGGGCGGGGCGGCCAGCTGGCACAGGACTCTAGGCCTAGGCCAACGCGGGGCAACCTTGACCAGAGCCGCTGCCGCCGCCGCCGCCGCCCGGACTGCGAGGCCACCCCACCCTCACCGCCCGCGCCGGAACTGCCCAGCCCATTGACAGCCACCCGATTCTTGCAGCAGATTCTGTTTTTAATCAACACCAAAGTTGAAGCGACCGTTAACATATCATAACCGTGTTCTAAGTACAGAATTTTCCTGTATTCATCTCCTGCTCACTTTCTTCTTTACGAACACTACCTTTCTTGTTTAATATTCCCTTTCTCATTAATTCTATGCCTGAAATGCCACAAATTGAAAATAAGTGAAATTCAAGTTAAGTACTGACGAGCTGCATTTTCTACCACAAATGTTAACTGAAGTTGCGTAGACTATGTATGTTCTTTTCTAGGAAACTAAGACTATCTCGGATGATGTTAAATTGCAGAGAGGGAAAGAGAATGTAAATTGGTTCTAAGCAGGGAGAGGAATGTTAGAGAATTACCTCAACCAGAATAATTTATTGACTCCGGTGAATTAAACAATCCCAGGAGCCAAAAATTTTCAACAGAAGCTGACCTTCCTCTTTTCAGTTTTCATTGTTATAGGAAGGACTCTGAAACCACCCTCTCTCTCGATGATTATCATACAATAATATTCTGGAAAACACAAAATATTCCAAATCACGTGGGGAAACGTTCTAGCGAAACCTTTAAACCTCGTTTCTATGAGTTATATTTGATTTTACTTCCTTTGTCAAAGAACAGTTAAAACTGAATGTGATTCATGGTAGAGAAGTACAATACAAGCTGTGCACGTTTTCTTGAGATAATCTCTTCTTCACCTTTTAACCGCAAAGAGTTGAATGATGAATAAAAGTTTCAAGAAATCGAATTTAGGAACATTTGTTAACTAGATATTTTCGTTCCTGTGTTATAGAAAACTTAATTGCATCGGTACGCGAACTTCAGATTTTATTTTTTAGTAAATTGCTAACAAAACAGTAACACATACCCCCAGCTCTATTCTTACCACAACTAAGGAAAAGGCGTGATCAACAAAACGTGCACACAGTGAATTTACATTTATGTCCAGAAACAAAACAAGGGGCCATCTCTGCATTTCCTCAATGAATTAGGGAAACTAGACGAAAACATAATCACGATGGGGTCAATGACCCAGAAGCTGCAAAACATTACTTGTTACAGGCCTATTAAGTATTTTTAAAATTATACAATACCAATTTATGTATAACATTTTAAAAATAAATGCAAATAAACATTATTTTTTCTTTTGAATGGTGAGTATAGTTTCTAATTGTATAGAAACAATTTCGCAGCAGAATTACTTTGTACTTAAATTTGTGAATCGATTTTAATTTCTTAATATCATCTGACAAAGTTGTAAATGTTTAATACACAGTAGCCTAGCTATTAAACGTATTGAAATATAATTTCTTTCCATGCACCATTTTACCACTTTTGATGCAACTGTAACAAATTAATTGAAAGTACTGATCATCTCAAGATATATTATCTATTATTACAAGCGTTAGAATTAATGTGGGGTCAATAACAAGCACATATCCAAGTGCACTATCTCCTTCAAAATGTAATTCTATTTCCTTAATTCTACACAGCAACTGGATTGCAATTTCTCGTGATTAGGAACGGAAACATGGTGATGGTTGGCAACCGACTCCTAAGGTTAGTAGGCTTAAGGCGAGCCGGTTGCTTTGTCAAGAGACAGAAACCCATGTTTGACATAAAATGTCACATAATTTTTACGCCAATATTATTTCGAAAAAGAAGGAAATTGTATTTGTATTAATTCTCGCTCAAATATTTTTAATTTCAAAAGATACAACACAATTCATTAAAATACTTAATTAACTTAATATTAACTTCATCAATTTTTAATCTCAGATACTGCTAATTTAAATGTATGGATACTCTCAGAAAAGAAAGCGACGGTTGACATAAGTGAACCCGAGTAAGCACATGAGTGCCTTGAATAAAGTCAAATAAAAACGCAGATGTAAAGATTTTTTTAAAATATCGAACAGATTCACCAAATGTGAAGTTCACAAGTCGCAGGAGCTTCATTTGCAATTGATAATACTTTCATTATGTCAAAAAAAGCAAATCCTACAAATTCCTGCGTACGATTATTGAAAGATGTACGTAGTTTTCCTGCTGATCCACCACAAGACCCGTGCGGAAAATTAAACTCCAGACGCAGCTCAACAAATCGAGAAATATGTCTTGAATTATCGGAAGAAAATCACATAAAATGGTTTTCTAAAAATACGCACATACTCAAAAAACTAATAAAGTACCCTCGTATACCACAGCAATAAATCAAATATTTTTACAAATAGTCTTCCCGAATTTGGGATGTAATATACCATATACGAATACTTACTACAACAATTCTTTACCTACCAAAAATATGAAACTGGTTGTGCTACAACAAGTCCTCGCATTATTTGTAACTTTTGCAATTTTCGAAAATTCAGAGAGTTCAACTAAAACGAGACCTACATCTTTTTTAAGCTCTATCCGGAGAAAAACATAATCAAAAAACTTGGAAAACATTTTTGAGAAATTTTTTCAAGTTTTAGGGCTTGAAATTATGTAAATTATGTAAAGAATTCCTCCAAATTAAAATATTCGTTTCAAATTTGCAGGGCCTCGAGTTCGGCCCGGTCGATTGGGGAATATTCTTTTGTTGAAAATCGTTCGAACGGTTTACTTATTAGCGTTGACCACAGCCCGACTCACCATAAACCAATCTTTCAGTATCACGAAGTCACAGAACGCGTATCCTGACTACAGTATAGGCGTGTTAATTTACAGTATACAAGAGTATAAGAACAACATTCATGAACTTCTTCGGTACCAAGGATGCACAATATGAGCTTTTCGGATAAAAGATCGCCTATTTCTGCTGCAGCATTACAATACGTTAACTTTATTACGTAAGTACGTAGAAGACGATAAAGAAAAAAAATCTCTGTTCCAAAACGCAAACGTGAGTAACAAATAAAAACAGGCGGGGTTCTTCCATGGAACCTTGGCACAGTTATCTCGTAGAATATTTTAGTAAGAATGAAGAACACCACTTGTTTTCTTAGAGTGGACACGGAGTCCCAATATGAGGAGACGATTGTGAGGATTCTCTTGAGTCAAAGGAAGTCAAAGACAGTACTATTAATAGACATACGCACTCATTTCTAATCATAAACTTTTGGCTTACAAAGCTAACATTGACAAGCAGACTTTAAAAGAATGAAATAATAATAGGTATTGTCATTGCCCACAATATTATTTATTTCGACGGCTTAGCCATAATCAGTTTTCTGCTCTATGGATGCCACAAAACGTCTACGTGGTGCTGTCTGTAGGCTTGTGCAGCGTTTGTAGGTCGGTAGACTTTTCGGTAGTAGTTTTGTAGTTTCTATAAAGCAGAAAACATGATGATAATGATGTTGATGACTAAGCCATCGAAAGCTCCTATTGAAAAAAAATAATATTGTTGATTGTTCCAATAATTGCTTAATTTTAAATGCCAACGACAATTCACCACAAAAGCAATATTTGAAAGAATGTTTTTCCAGCGTTTATTTGCGAATTGCATTCCGATGCAGACCATCGTACACGACGCAGGCTATCACCAAGCATTCGGTTCGGTCCCAGGTGGCCTTATAACAACGGCTGACACGTCCGTCTTTCTGACAAGGACGCGGAGTCTTCCGGTCAACACAAACATTCCAAGTATCTACATTCCGGCTGTGGAATCGTTTCTACAAAAGTCACTTCTGGCAAGCCAACACCTGTCGGGCCTTGATTGTGCAGGTCGAAGGATAAAACATACGAAGTCGTAGGCTTCCGCGGTCAGAGTCATGTGAGTGATCTGGGCTGTCCGGGTGACGGCACGTCGAAGGCTGAGTTGCCGACGTTTCGACCATCCTGTCGTGGTCTTCCTCAGGGCTGGTATGGTCATACCAGCCCTGAGGAAGACCACGACAGGATGGTCGAGACGTCGGCAACTCAGCCTTTGACGCGGCGTCACCCGGACAGCCCAGATCACCCGGATAAAACATACCTTTGTTTCGTCATTGTCTGGTAGTACCGAGAAACAAATTGCATTGCAACTACCTTCGTTTCTATAGTACCTCGCCCATTTTTCGTACTATTAATTGATCGCGCGCTTAAAGGTGTGTGGATGATTACAAGGAAAAGTGAATATTTCAGCGTAATGAACACAAACACATGTCCACTAGCTTATCGTGGCGCTTCCGGCAGGAATTTTCATGTTAAAAGCATTAGAATTGCCTATGCAAAAATTACATTAAAAATGTCGATAGCTATCTTTTTAAAAAAATGCTTCAGTACAATGATTAGGCTTAATTGTCAATATGATGAATAAAAGTAAAGATCTATGTTTTGCCGGAAATGTCTAGTAATTCACAGTCCTACGTTTACGTACTTTAGACGCATTTGAAATCCCGAAAACACGTTTTCTTTAGAATTCTTCCAGAATATTACCAATCGAGCATTTGTCTCGATAATAGGAATTGAATGCGCTCTTGGTGCCTTAAAACATCCCAAATGGAGTTTTAAGTGTTTAAAACCCTCCAAAATATAATTTATAAAAAATTATTGATAGAACCAGACACTATTTTCGTTCTTTCGCTGTGCTTCTCATTTGTTCCGGATAGTCAAGTAATATAATACTCCATACAATGTACAACAGTTGATTTTCCGTGATATTCACATAATAAATATCTGATGAAAATGTTGTAAATGTCAAAACCAAAAATAAAAATAATAAATCATCTTAAAGTTGAGGCCTTTTTAACTTCTCAAGTGGGAAATTGGCACAACACGGGAAACGGCCAGCAGTGGGTTTGGCATAACAGGGGTAATTAAGTGCCTTGGCTGCAATTTCGTGCTGCAATCGTCTTATTTCTCTTCTTAAAACCCTCGCAAGTGCCATCCCATGGTCATGGCCTCGCCTATTTATTTTCATCTATCTGAAACCTCCTTTCCGTATGTTCACTTCAAACAAAATTTTATGGATCTGTTCAGCCTCCAACATCATACGAACTGTCTTCTGACTAAGAACCGCGATGCAGCGAATACTTATCACAAAAAATCTAAATCCTTACTGGCAGCTGAGCAGAATTACACCCATATGTCTGTTTTCCGCTTGAGCAGGTTTCACGAAACACGGGTTGTCCGATTTGCACGCGAGCTGTCGGGCGGAAATGCGACAAGGACGCTACGTTGATTGGGCCGCCGAGATTCAGGCCACACCTCGAAACCGACAGGCGGCTCAGGACCATGCCTTGGGATGTTGCGTTTCTTCACACGAATCAATATTTGGAATGCAGCGGCTTCGGAAGGTTTTTTTTTTGGGGGGGGGTTATGGCTTCCTTCAGAAACCATTAAAAAAATTGATTGCATTACATTTCAAAGGAATGTTTTCACTCTCAATACATCTTTTAAAAAAACAATTTTCTTCATTATTTCAAAAGCATTTTTCGGGGGTGTACAAAATAAAGTTGCCCCTCCCCCCTGAAATATGTACTTGATTAGCCGCTAATTTGATAATAAAACCCTGCATCTCGTGGAGTCAAAGACTATGTAGTGCTGAATCTTATAAGTGGAGACGTTTGGTTCGGTTTCCATCGCACTGTTACTATAATGCGTGCCGCCACCCTAAAGGGTATATGTTGTAGCTGATCTCACAGACATTTACATAAGTGAAACGCTGTTTTTCTCTGATCACATAGAATTTATCAATCTGAAATACTATTCTGGGAAGATAGAACGCACTTCAATATTAACATTACAAGAACAATAGATTTATTACACGCCAGTAAGCCAATTTTTCTGTTATAATGCTGTAACGATCGAAAACATATTACTGAACAGCATCTTTACCGTTATTTGGAAATATCGAAAACAAAAAGAACTATCTCCGTTTCTGAAGTAAAGTGACTGGCCAACTGGCATAGAAAAACAAAGTCTGAAGGTTCCAACCCGGATGGACGCTGAGGAAGGACAGCCAATCCTAAATGGTTCGTGATGCGCCATTGGCTTGCAAAAGGACCTTCTCATTAAATGCATGGCCAGAGGTAATTTGCCTGTCCTTACTAATCACGTATTCGCCGGTCTTGGAACGAGGCAAGAAGCAGATGAAATGAAACCGTTTTTATTTGGTTCCCAGGCGCGCACATGGGAGACAAAAATTGTTTGTAGCGGTGGGCGGGAAATTTGAAATTTGACAACAACACAGCGCATGTCGGGGGTGAGCAATGGACAGATACCAGGCACTCGTCAACAAGAATAACAACATATTTTAAATGTGAATACCACAACTCCCATCACCATAACAAGGCGGGGGTCGAAATATTCTGCAGCAGCCAGCTGAGCGGCCAAACCCAAGCGAACATTTGCAGCAGGTGCGAGGAACCGGTTTCCCGACCTTGGGCGACGGTTACGCCTCGACCCACTTTCCGCGCTCGCCGGTTCCAGCTCCGCGCCGCGCCGCGCCGCGCCGGGCACTTTCACTTGCCTATGACGTACTCCAGGATGAGGTTCCAGCCGATGATGTACGCCACGAATTCGCCCACGGTGACGTAGCTGTAGACGTAGGCCGACCCCGCGCGCGGCACTCGGGCGGCGAACTTTTTTCTTTTTTTTTTTTTTTTCTTTTTTGCTCTCTGCACAGCTTGAACCGGAATTTTTTCTTAAAGCATCCAACTCTATCGCTTTCCTACAAGACAGATTCAGAGCCTCCTCACTACAATTACCAGAAAAATGCGGCTCAATATAATATAAACCTCATGATATATATTTCACTACCATCAGTCTCTGTATCTCTTAATCATACTTCGCTAATAACTATTACAAATTATCCTTCAATCAAAAAAAATAATAATAATAATCAATAACCGAAAAACCTTATGGAACTCCGTCGACGGGACCCACAGTTATGGAAAAACCACAAAAGTTATGCTATGTATCTGTATTCACAACCTGAAAAACAGCATGTGCAACAGGTAGAACAATAAATTAAAAAAAAACAAAAAAAAAAAATTTTGATAACATATCGCTCGCGCTTGGCGGCTTAGTGTTCGCATGCAGCGAAATCCATTGGTGAGTAAATATTTGAAATCAGTTGATTAAAACATTACCACACGCTATTTTTCTCTATGCTGAGTAATTTTATTTGCTAGTCGTTTTAATGTCTTTTTTTCCATCGTGTCACTTTTTTAGTAATACAAGACATCTAAATAATGTCGCCTTTCTAGCATGATAAAATTGTGTGATTCTAATAAGTATTTCGTGGATAACTAATCGCTTCTAACCGTTACACTAGTAACTAAAGTCCGACATAACACATAATTCCCTTTTTTTCCTTTCATGGCCCAAATGGTTCCAGTAGTTCTGAAAGAGAACTTTGGACCGTTTTTGAAAAAAATTAGGGGATACCTGATAAATAAGTTTAGTTTGTCGTGTTCATTGGCATTTGGTTTGATTTTCCTCAGTTTAGGAATCCTCCTTTTGGACTCAGCTTGTGTTTGCCTATCTCCTCGGTAAGAAACACTTTTACGTTGTATGGTTGGTGTCAAGAATAAGCCGTGGCAACTGCATCCTTTCCAGCACTCCATCCAAGAAGCTCACACGGATGTTCATGACACATGTAGGTCAGAGAGAGATGGAAATTGAAAGTGGCGATCGAAGATATTGGAAATATTTATAATATTAATAGGAAGTTTCGTAATATTTAATTCTAAACATACGTTTCCACGGGCATTTATCGTTGTGGATACGAACATGTGTTTTTAGGCATTACTGTACATTTATTTTAGAATACTGAAATACTGCTATAATAATATAAAACAGAAAGCTATGGCAATAAATAATTATATCTTTATGAGATCTGAAAAAAATGTCAAAATTTTATTTGATATACTACATAAATATCCTCGCTTATTTAATAAATTTTTTAATACGTTGATTTTGATAAAAGTATGATATCTTTTCAATATACTGTTTCTATTGATAATTTATGAAAGGCTTGGGGCAGAAACAGATTATGACACTTGTCTTCGATCTAAAAATGCACATGTTAACATTACAGATAGCTGGAGGCTTGCTTTGGCATGAAATGTTGGCTGATCTTGTTTTCTGCATCAGAGCATTTTCAGAAAATAATATTTAAAAACTGTTCATCTCTATTTCTCTCTCTTTCCCTCTCTCCTCTCTCTCTCTCTCTTCTTCACTCTCCCCCACTCTCCCTTCTCTCTCACTTCTCCCACTTCTCCTTCTCTCCTCTCTCAATTTCTCCACTCTCCCTCCTCTCCTCTTCACTTCTCCCACTCTCCCCTCCTCTCACTTTCTCTTCCACTGCTCCCTCTCTCTCTCTCACTTCTCTCACTCTCCTCTCTCTCACTTCTCCACTCTCCCTCTTCTTCTCACTTCTCCCACTCTCCTCTCTCTCCTCACTTCTCCACTCTCCTCTCTCTCTCACTTCTCCACTCTCCTCTCTCTCTCACTTCTCCACCTCCCTCTCTCCCCTCTCACTTCTCCCACGCTCCCTCTCTCCCTCTCACTTTCTTCCCACTCTCCCTCTCTCTCACTTCTCCCACCTCTCCCTCTCTCTCTCACTTCTTCTCCCATCTCTCCTCTCCATCTCTCACTTCTTCTCCCACTCTCCCTCTCTCTCTCACTTCTCCCACTCTCCTCTCTCTTCACTTCTTCCCACTCTCCTATTTCTCCACTCTCCCTCATTTCTCAACTCTCCTCTCTCTCATTTCTCCCACTCTCCCTCTTCCTCTCATTTCTCCCACTCTCCTCTCTCTCATTTCTCCCACTCTCTCCTCTTCTCATTTCTCCCTCCTCTCCCTCCCTCTCATTTCTCCCTCTCTAATTTAGATATACACGCGGTACAGTGCCTGAGTGTGTTATTCAGTGGGTGTAGTTC